GAGATAATCAACAACCAGTAAAGGTCTGGAGACATTATTAATTATGATCTGTTACTTTAAACAGAATTTAAAATTAAAATAAAATGAGGTTTTTATGCATCCATGATATACATACAATATTTAAATAATATATAAAAAAAAAAGTTTTTTCCATTTTAAAATCAAGTGTTTTTTGAAGTAGAGAAAAAGACACACAAGACAAAACGTCAAGATTGGGCCAAGAAATATCTGAACACTGATTTCTCCAAGGTGTTTTGGTCTGATGAAATTAGAGTGTGTCTTGATAGGCCAGATGGATGGATGGGCACCAGGCTGGATCAGTAAAGGGCAGCAAGGTCCTTATCGACTCAGACGCCAGCAAGGTGGAGGTGGGGTACTGGTATGGGCTGGTGTCACCAAAGATGAACTTGTGATGCCTTTTCTGGTTTATGATGGTGTAAAGATAAACTCCCAGACCTACTGCCAGTTTCTGGAACACACCTTCAAACAGTGGTACAAGAAGAAGTCGCCATCATTCAAGAAAGACATGATAATCATGCAGGACAATGCCCCGTCACACGCATCAAAAGTGGCTGGACAGAAAAGTCTAAAAGGAGAAAAAATAATTACATGGCCGCCTTGTTCACCTGATCAGAACCCCATGGAGTACCTGTGTTCCTTGATGAAATGTGAGATCTACAGGGAGGGAAACAGTGTCTGGGAGGCTGAGGTGGCTGCTGCACGCAATGTGGATCACAAACAGATCAAGACACTGACAGAATCTATGGATGGAAGGCTTTAGAGGGTCAAGGTGAAGAAAGGTGGTTATATTGGTCACTGATTTGTTTTTATGTTTTTGAATGTCGGAAGTGATTTCTGAATTTTTAGTTGTTATTGTGGTTTACCCGGTGAAAATAAACAAGTGAGATGGGCATATATTTGTTTTTTATTACGCAGCCTAATAATTCTGCACAGTAATATTTACCTGCACACACAGACATCCTCATAAAATGGCCAAATCTAAAGAAAAACACATCAACTTCCAAAAATATGAAACTTTAATATAAAGGAGTTTTTTGGGTGGATTGAGTACACAATTGTGGCCCAATAATAAAAAAAATCCTCAAAAATACAACTTGCCTAATGATTCTGCACACCGTGTATACAGTGCCGTATATATAGATTAGGTTAGACATTCGCAAACAGTCCAGGTCTCTTGGAGGACTCTTCCTCTTTGCGTTTGTTGTGCTTCAAGCTGGAAAAATGAAAACTAACTAGTTTGTATTTGTATATTTAGAATCTACAATAGTCCAACCAGCATTCTTCAAAAGACGATCACATAATATTATTAAAAACAAGTTATGGAAGAACTGAATAGTTTGGGGGTTTAAGCTTTTAGCCATGATGCACGGTATACCAAGCATAATAGTGGGCCTAGAGTTATAATAAAACTTATAACTTACAATTACATTTTTTTGTCTTTTTTATTTTTTTTATTGAAGTTACCAGACCCTTTACTAATAAAACATGGTTTGATGAGCAGACTAACATCTCAGTAGTTTGAGGCAGATGCTTTTCTAAGCTGTAGGCTAACTTCCTGAGTTTACTTTGGGCCATTTGGTGGATGTGACGTCAAGCATCCGTGTTGAATCAGTTCTGTTTAAGTTAGATTTTGTGGAAACTCAGTAGCGACCAGCATTCAGCTCAACTCAAGACACCAGCGACAACTCGATGTAAAGTGATAGTTACGGTGAGGAGAGCGCAGTGCAGAGCAGGCATTAAGATCTGCCTTAGGTATTCAGACCCCTTTAAAATGTTTCACTCTTTGTTTCATTGCAGTCATTTGCTAAAGTCAATAAAGAAAAATTTAATTTCTCCTTAAAGTACACTCAGCACCCCTGGCTTCACAGA